ATCGTTAAAACTCCCATACGAAGGGGGACATTTCACCGCCTTGCGAGAATACGACGTGCCCAGCCCAAGCGGACGCCAACCCGGCTAAAAATAAAAGCTACTACATTTTGCATGTGGAGTGTGTGCCAGGCGCGGCCCAAAAGGCTTTCCATTTCCTCTTGCTCACGCTGAGAGCAAGCCGGCAGAGCAATCAGGCCACAAACACCCCTGCCATTTCACAGACGAGAACACCGAGGCAAGGAGACTGGATGCCAGGCCTCAGGCTGGAGAGCTCAGCGGGGGAAGGACAGAATCTCAAAGCTCTGCCTGCAGCCTTTGCGAAAGCACAGTGGAGGCTGGCTGACACTTCTCAGTGGTCCACCCACCCACCCTAAGCCAGTGGTCATCAACCAAGGTGCACAGACTGGGCTGGGCCACAGGCCTCCCAAGGCACAACCCCCAGGAACCTGCCACGAACCGTGGAGCTGCTGTGTCCCCCACCCCCAGGCCCCTGCCCCTGGGGCAGGCTCAGACTTCTGCTCCTCCAGACACAGCGGCCAGGACTCTCCAGGACTCGCGATGCCTGCCCAGGTGAGCGCCCAGAGCACAGACCTTAACCAGACCGCTGTGCAGAGCCGGGCACACCCCTGGGCAGAGCCAGATTAAATTTCACAGTGAAAGACTAGAAAGCGGTCTGCATGGGGCTGCTTCTTAAATACGCCAAGTTTCTCACTGACACCCCGGAGTCAATAGTTAGGACCAATAAGCATTTTCTACCCCAGGGAATTCAATAAAGTTAATTTCATATTGAACCAAAATAAATATGGCCCCTAAATGGTCTGATGTGTCTGAATTGACTCTTCTGCATGGTCACTCACCACTATCGGAGCTATTCAGAGGCAGGAGAGGAATTTCCAACCCCCCGAGAGCCGTCATTATGGCCTGGAGTCACCATTCTTCTCGCTTCCCTGATGGCTAGGTTTTGCCTTCAGTTGCCCATTTTCTGCAGGGCCCTGTGCTCAGGCCTCCACAGCGCCAGCACCCCTGCCGCCCCTCTTTTGGCCCAGCTTCACTCCACACCTGCTCCCGCCTCTCCAGACGCTGAGTTCGAGGCCTTACCCTCACACATGTACACTGGGAACCCAGGATATGGCAACGTGGGCATCTGCACCCAGCCCAAAGCACCCAACCTGAATAGTTCAAACGGGCTCTAGGCACACCAAGTGACTGGTAGAGTAACGATCGGTTAGCAAGGAGGCGAGAGAAGACCCTGGGACAATCACTGGACAATGGCCCATTCAGACCACGCACAGCGACTGGGCACTGAGTCAGCCGGAGAGGCGCCTGCAGTGCAGGAAGCAGGAGTCTGAGCTGGTACAAGGCTCCTTGTCTCTGAGGGGCCGGCAGCAGGGAGGGGAGAATGCACAGGCTGGGGAGACACCGCCCTGGCGGGCAGCCCAAGCTTCAGTGGGGGCCCCCGGAGCAGTAACACCCACATCCACGCATGAAGCTAGGGACAGAAAAACTCAAGTCCTACTTCCAATCTACCGAAGGCGAAATCTCCTGTTCTGAAATAAGCATCCATCGGGGCCCGTCTCATGAATGACCTTGCCCAGCTATGAATGAACAAGCCGGACTGCCCCAGTGCCAAGAAAACTCTTATCAGGCTTCAAAATAAAAACATTTACTTAAAAAAAAAAACACTATAATTGGCTTTGAAATGAGTTCAAAGACAATCCAGTCCCTCTGAAAGGGCAGCTTTATCACCCGCTGCATTTCTTCAACCTGCAAGAGCAGGAAAATCGTTCTTTGAGCCAAGTGGCCTGGTGCTTGTGGCCGAAGACCCATTTTCCCACGAGCATCCCTGTCCCTCAGGCCCGGCCATGCTAAGGCCCGGCTCCCCGTGCCACCCTGCAGCCCTGCCTGGTCTCCCTCTTCCAGGCGGGTGAGAGGCTGAAACGCGGTGGACAGGGCTGGGGTACATGAACCAAACCGTGACCTTCGACTTGTCACACCCTGCCCCTGACCTCGGCCACCCTGATGCTCCCAAGTCCCTCAGATGCTGCCCACCAGCCCAGGCATTTTTAGGGTCACCTTCATTCCCCCTCACAGCTGGCACCTTGCCTGGGCAGCACCCTCTTGCCCTGGGGGTAGAGGCCTGGGGGGGGGGGGCAGGGGAGCAGGATGTGAGTCTCAGAGCCCAGAGGGAGCCTGGTCAGGATCCCCCCTCAGCCCAAGGAGGGGAGCTGCAGACACCGCGCAGTGTCATAGATGAGTCATGCCGCCCTCGGAGAGGGACAGCTCAAGTCGAGGACGGTCACTCAGTGCTGTCCTTGAAGGACAGGTGTGACCCAGCCCCAGGCGTCCTGCAGGCTGAGCACAGAACCCGGCTCCTGAAACCCCGGCCCTTCACCTGACAGACACGCAGCACATGCACAAGGCTCCATCTGCACAGGAAGCAGAAAGTGAGATGCTGCTCCCCTTGGCATGAACCCCCTCCCCACCCCCGAAAACAAGGGGACACTAGTGAGCCCAGCACAGGAGGGCCCCGGGGGCCTGATGGTGAAGCCGGAGCCCAGTGCTGCTCTCCCTGTCCAAGGACAGACGTGTCAGCCTCCTTCCCTAAGCTCCCTGCCCCTTCCTCCTGCATGCGGAGACTGCGGGAGGCTCGTTCCCTGCAAGGGAACAGGGACCAAATCTTCTCAAATGTTCCCGAAAACTCTAATCACTCAAGGATCGTGTCTGGTATCGGAGCTATTCGAGAGTTGTGGGGCGCAGAGCTGGCCTCCCAACCCAGCACCCGGGGCACGAGCGCCCACATGCCCAGTCACTGGGCCTGCAGCTCTCAGCCTGTGTGCCCGCTCACCAGGACTTCCGAGGGAAGGAGATTAAACAGAAAGCACAGAGAAACGAACCCCAAATGGGGAGTACGCGCAGAAGCTGGGCTGTGGCTTCCAAGGCTGCTTTGGGGGACCCGCAGGCCCTTTGGTAAGCAGGTGTGGCTGGGAGTCAGTTCCCAGCTGAGACCAGGGGCCAGCTCGGGGGGTCCCACACTCTTCCACCTGCCATTCAGACGGGTCACTTGTGTAGTGCCCTCTTTCCAGCCCGTGGGCAAAACCCAGCCAAGCAGCCCTAATTCTAAGGGAACCAACCCTCCCAGAGCCTCCTCCACAGGGTGACCACAGAGCCTCCACCCCACCCGCGCTGACCGCAATGCACCTAACCCTGCAACAGGAACCAAACCTTCCAGCCCGGACCCCCGACTAGCACCCAACCAACAGCTCAGCCCCTCGCTCCTGAGCTCAACTAGGGGCCTCAAGTCATCTGCAGCTTCTCTCTCTCTCTCTCTCTCTCTCTCTCTCTCTCTCTCCCCCTCCTTCCCTCCCTCTCCCTCTCCTTCTCTCTCTCTCTCACCCTCTCCCTCTCCTTCTCTCTCTCTCTCACACACACACACAACCACACACACGCACACACAGCCACACACGCGCGCGCACACACACGCCCTTCTGTGCCTCTTCCGCTTGTTTAAAAATCCACACGCGACAGATTGCAAAGAAGCTCAAAGGCTTCGGTGTGAGGCGCAAAGTACTAGTGGGGGGAAAAATACAGCAGGCAACGCGTTGCGAACGACTGGGGCGCGGAGGGGCGTGTTGCTCCCCGGGAAGGGGCCGCTTCCCCGCCCAGACCGGGTGCCGACAGCACCAGACCTGGCTGGGGGTTCGGGGTCGCGCTGCACGCGGAGGCAGCGGCTCGGGGTACGGGCGGCTCCGGGAAAGCCCGGGAGCCCGAGAGGTGGCCGGCCCGTGCGGCCGCGGCCGGGGGACACCAGAGCTCCGCGCGCGCGCGCCCGGGTCCGACCCGCAGAAACCAGGAGCGCAGCGCGGGGCCCCGGGGACCGCCCGCACCTCCCGCGCCCGGCCGCCGGGACGTCTCCCCCAAGCTGGATCCGAGGGGCGCCTGCAAGAGTCCCCCGGGGTCTCTCGCCGGCACTAAGAGGCGACGAGAGAAGGGGGCGAGCTACGTGACTTCGGGGGCCGCCACCCCAGCACCGCTGGGGGTACGCCCCACCCCGCCCCCGCCGCCCACAAGGGATCGAGGGCGCAGCGGGGGACCGGATGGGTCCCCAGGCGCCCCTTCACCCCGAATTCCTCCCCAGCCCGGGCCCAGCGCGCGGATCTGGAGGGCTCCGGGGCGCGGAGACGCGAGCGCGTCCAAACCCGGGTGCGGGAAGCGGGTGCCCGTCTCCTCCCAAGGCCCCCGCGCCGGGAATTCGAGTTCCCGGGACCCAAAGTTGCCGCGCGTCGGGTCGCGCGGGCGCGGGGCGCGGACGCGGGATGCCGACCCGGGGCCCGGGTGGACGCAGGCCCCGATGCCCGCGCCGGGAACAAGTGGTCCGGCGGCGGCGACCCCACGGTCCCAACTTTCCCGCCGCGGGGAGGGAAGGGCGGCGCGCGGCTCCGGGTACCGTGTGCGTGCGCCTCGGGCTTCGCTCTCCGCCGAGCCGCCGGCTCCGGGCTCCCCTGGGCCGCTGCTCGCTCGCTTCCCCGCCGCAACTCGCAGGGGCGCGCGGGGGGCTCGGGCGAGGCGCGCCCCGCGCGGCCCGCGGCCCCGGCTCCAGCGCGCCGCGTGCCCCGCGCCGCTCAGCGCCCGGCCGCCGTCGGACGCGCCTCCGCGCCCCGCATCGCGCCCGCACTCCCGCCGCCGCTCAAGTCCGCGATCAACTTTCCCCGCGTCCCCGCCCGCGCGGCCCCGCCGCCCAGTCCCCGCCTCCTGACGCTCCCCGCTCGCCTCCCGCCGCGCCCGGCCCCGCCGCGCGCACGGCCGGCCCCGCCGCCCCCCGCGCCCCGCGCCCCGCGCCGGCCCCGCGGGCGCGGGCATGAATATTTCAGGGCTGGCGGAGCTGCCCTCGCCGATGTCATGGCACCGGCTGCTGTGGCAACTCCGCGATCCCCCCACGGGGCCCCGACGGAGCCGCCCAAGCGGCCCCAGTGCGCGCGGCAGCCGCGCCCCGCCGGGCTCACCTGCGTGCCCGCGGGCGGAGGGGCGCCGGGAGGGCCGGGGTCCCCGCCGTGCCCGGGCCGAGCGGGGGAATCGCGCCAGCGGGCGGGCGGGCGGGCGGGCGCTCGGCCTGGGTGAGCCTGCGCCATCTGTTGGCTTTAAGCGCCCCCTCTCTGCACCCGGGGTCCTGGAGCGCCGCGCGGGGGAGCGCCGCCAGCCCTGCGCGCCCTGCCGCCCCCCTCCCCATTGCCTTGGCCCGCACGCGAGCTCAGGACGCCCCCAGGGCTTAAAAATGAGTGAGCCCCAGGGCTAGCAGGCTGCACTTGCACCCGGGCTTCCCGGGCCCCATCCTCGGCCTCCCATCTGGTCCCCCACCCCGAGGACCACCAGGAGTAAGTCTTGAGTGCAAAGCCGGGAGTGACACCCCTGAGCGTTTCTGGGTGTGACCTCCAGAAACAAAGGAATAACCGGGATTGGAAGAGGCCTCTGAGGCCATAATCCCCGTAGGGGACCTTGGGCATCCCCCGGAGTGATGGACTTGCCCCCCCCCCCTTTTTTTTTGCACACCTCTAGGGGTAGGGAGGAGCCTTCGCGGGCATTAAGGATCACTTCCTGACCTTGATCTTTCTCCCCCCCCCCCCCCACCCAGCTAAACATCCTGGATTCCTTTGAACTATTTCTCACAGGACAAGATTTCTCGACTTGTCGCTGTTCCCACCCGCCCATCGGCAGATTGATGGCAGCCATGGGGCCAGTCTTCCGGGCCTCTGCTCCTTCTATCTGCTGCATAGCCTTTTCCGGTAGGTCATTTTCCTGGTTTCGCAGGATAAACCAGGCCTGCTAGAGAGAAAACAGGCTTCAGGGATGACGTGAGTGACATCGCCAGCGTGTTGGGGTCCCTTAGTGAGCCCAGACTCTTCCGGATTCCCACGTTGCCCCCATGGGCTATCAAGTTACCAGGCTCTGATGGGGCTCGGTCTGCAGATGGGGAACCAGGCATTTGTCAGTGGGGCCTCGGAGTGTCGGAACAGTGCCTGTGTCCTTGTGGAAGCAGGAGCTAAAAAAATTTTTGAACACTATGTGGGGTGTCCTGGTGGTCACCTGGTTGGGCCTTTCTCCGAAGAGTGGAGGCTTCACAGACAGTGGCCGGGTCACAGCTGAGAAGTGAGAATCTCATCATCTTCTGTATCCTGGGGAAAACGAGGACCCAGCAGGAAGCAACTGAGGACAAGGGGACATAAGCACGATCAACTACTATGTGCCAGGACTTTGTCAGGCCAGGGATCAGCAAACCACTGTCTTGAGCTCCAATCCAGCCAGCCATCCCCTTTGGAAATGAAGTCATAGTGATATAGCGGGAGTGGAAGGACAGAGTGCCAGGAGAATTAATTAATCCCATTGGTCAGTTTCAGCCTCACCCAGGGAGAAGGTATCCAATCAAAATAGAAAATGAGAGGCTGGAGTGATAGCACAACGGCAAGGCATCTGCCTTGCACGCGGCCAACCCGGGTTCGATTCCCAGCATCCCATATGGTCCCCCGAGCACCACCAGGAGTAATTCCTGAGTGCATGAGCCAGGAGTAACCCCTGGGCATTGCCGGGTGTGACCCAAAAAGGAAAAAAAGGATAAGCAAAATGGAAAATGGGATGGCTGGGTTGCGAGATGGCAGCAGATAAAAGGAAGTTTCCCCCACTTCTCTCTCTCTCTCTCTCTCTCTCTCTCTCTCTCTCTCTCTCTCTCTTTCTCTCTCATCCAGCACAGTGGCTGGGGACAATGTGAGGGGCCCACATTTCACTCGAGCGAGCACATAGCACTTGCAACCTCACAGAGAGGCAGGCAGCAAACCATGGGGTGTGGCAATAGAGACAGTGACCCAGCCCAGACTGGTCCCCAGCCTAGAAAGGAAGCAGGGATGGGAGCCATTGCAGGATCTTTCTCGGATGGCTAGAAACACAGGCCCCCAGGTGGAGAGACAGCGTGCAGGCCCAGAGGCGCGCACAGGCCTCCCCACAGTGGGGAGATCCTGGAGCTTTCATTTTCAAAAGGAGCCATACCCAGCTATTTCCCGCAGCTGTAGCTCCCAAGGATGCTGGCCCTGGCCTGCTCAGGGACCACCACGGCTCCCTGTGGCAGTGCTGGGGATCCAATTCACACGTGTGAGGCAGGTGCTGTGCCGTGTCAGCTAGCGGAGCCTGGGAGAGTTGGGATCCCAAAGATGAAGAACTGGACTGCAGTCCAGCCAAAGGCAGGCTGAGGGCGGCATGCGTGGGGGACCCTACTTGGCCTCTGACCACTGCCCCAGTGCCCCCAAAACTCCAGCCCTCCCAGGATCTGTCTGGGGTCAATCTCTGAGTAATGGTCTCCTCCCCCGCTGGGTTCCTCTCTCTCAGCCACTTCAGGGCTGCCCCACCAATCAACTCGACCTTCACCCACCTCATGAAACACTTCCCCAGGGCGGGAGAGACAGTACAGTGGGCACGGCTCTGACCTTGCATGCAGCCGACCCCAGTTCGATCCCCGGCACCCCTTGTGGTCCCCCAAGCACCGCCAGGAGTGATCCCTGAGCGTGGAGCCAGGAGAAAGCCCTGAACATCATCGGACCTGGTTCCCAGACACATAAAAACATCTTTTCGAGGTTTCTACAGAAGCAGCCGCATCTCTGCAGAAGGTTCCAGGCACGTTCAGTTGGACAGATAAGAGACACATTTGATCCCGGGATCCAAGAAGGCCAGTATGTGTCTTTGCTCCTTCCTCTAAAGAGCATCTCAAGAGAAGTCCTCTGTGTGCAGATGACACCCGGACGCGTGTCACGCCCTTGGGCCTCAGAGAAGCTTGTCCAGCCGGGGATTTGGAGACAGAAGCCAACTAGAAGGGGGATCTGATCACATGCCAGGCTGGTGCCAGGCTGGCAGTGGAGGAGGGACATCCAGAAGGGTGCCCCCCAGGCAGCCCCCCGAGAAGACTCTGCGGAATCCATCGGATGGGACCCCTGGAACAGAGCCTTAGAAGGGGCGGGGTCTGTGAGAAAAGACCCGGCCAGAGTAGTCCAGGGGCTGTAAGTGGGCAGAGCCACGGGGCAGCCAGCCAATCAGAGGCAGACTCCAGGCACGGCGGCAGGAGGGCTGCCCAGAACCCCGGGGCAGAGGTGAGGCCTGAATCTCCCGGGAGGAGTCCCGGGGACAACCTGGAATGCCACCTGGAATCCAGGAGTCAGTCCTGCTGCAGGTGGAAGGCCTGGCGGGAAAGCATGATCGTGGAGGCACAGGGCAGAGACGGCACATGGCCAGGGAGGGGGCCGTGGGGCATCTGTCCTGGCGGACCCCCAGACCCCAGGGCTGTCCATGAATAAGAAGGGAAGGGAGGGAGGAGGGATTCGGGGCTGTGGGGAGAGGGAAGAAGGAAGAGGGCAGGAATCCAGAAAAGACTGCTGTTCGCAATCAGCCTCACTCCCTCAGTGGGACGGGATCCAGGCTTGTCCCGAGGGCGCCCCTCAGCCCTGTTCCACAGTGCAGGCCTGCCGGGCAGAGGGCAACTCCGCGCTGGCCAGCTAGATAGCAGTGGGCAGGGGCCTCCCTCGGCCAGCTCCCCTGAACCTCGCTTTTCCTGGGCTGTCAGTGGACATGGCCCCCCACCAGGCTCCCTGACATATCCCAAGGCTGCTGTTGAGAGAGAAGAGAAAAACCCACTTTGAGTGTTTTCTAAACTGTGGGAACAAAGCAGCACTCAGGCAGAAGTCCCTGCGCTCAGGAGGGCCGGTCATTATTTCTAGAGAGCATAAACACCTCTCCTCCGGGTCCCCTTCCTTGTGCCAGCCGAGCCCCGCCTCCCGCCTCCTGCCCACCCCTAATCCCATCCCTGGCCCCCGCAAAGCTGTTTGTTGCTTCCTGTCTGCGCCCCTGGCCCGTGCGCCCTCTCCAGGGGCAGCGCCTGCCTCCATAAACCAAACATGTGTGCGCCCCAGTTTAGTTTGTGGGCCCTTGGAGCCTGGCACAGCTGTGGCGGCCGCCGTGACACAGCTTGTGAGAGCGTTAGGCTGGGAAGGCAGACGAGGTGGGCTGGCGCCCCGCCCCCAGCCGCAGGATCCCGTCGCCCTCACCTGCGCCCCCGGGCCTGGCCTGGCTCTCCCTGGACCCCCACCTCGGAATCCCACCCCTCCCCCCACGCTCCCTCTGCGGCCTGAGGGGGGGCGTTGGTTCCCTCACGTTCCTGCCACGCTCCCGGTTCCCCCCCCTCCATCTCTTATTTATAAGGTGTTCATAGCAAAATAAATGGCAAAAAGTTAGAAGCTAATTAAAGCTGGCACCGATTGGCACACGGAGGCATGAATTATGCATTGGCACAGGATGGCACTGGTGGTGAGGACTGGTACCAAGTGCCCTGGGCATTCGGAGGGAGTGGGCACCGAGCCCCCACGCTGTCTCTCGAGGCGTCCCTATCCAAAGCCCAAGGTCTTTCCCTGAGGGCCAGCCAGAGTCTTGGCTATGGAACCTCCGCCCTAGCCCTGCCAGCGGCAGCCCCGTGCCCCCTGGACAGCCCAACACAAGCAGCCTCGTCCCTGTGGGCCGGGCTGGGACCTAAAGGGTGGGGACAGGAGGAAGAGGCTGAAGACACAGGCTGCAGGGCTCTGCCATGGGCAGCGGGGGGCCGGAGAGGCCAGTGGGCAGGGCGTAGCCCACTCCTCGGGGTCTGTTCACAGTTGGGGAGCCCAAGACCAGAGGGACACAGCCCGTGATGGGGGCACGGGGCAGAGAGCTGCTTCGGTGCCACAGGCCGACCCATGAACCTTGAGTGGCTCGTCTCATGGGAGGACGCGCTGGACCAGAGACGGCTCAGCCCTGGCAGAGTCACTGGCCCCGGTCTGAGGGTGCTGGGGGGCTGTTCAAAGACTGATTCCAAGCCTCGGCCCAAGGACAGGCCGTTCTCCGGGCTGGCCCGAAGCTTTGGGAGGGCCACGGGGGTTCCCACAGGATCCAGGCTGCACCACTGCCCACTCTGGCCCAGCTGGACGGGCACGTCTGGAGGCTTCCGGGGTGAATCTGATGTGCAGGGGAAACCCCGGCGCTGAGAGAAGGGCGGGGTGGGGAGATGGAGTGTGGACCCTCCTCC